TTTGACTTGGCTTAACTTTTTAAAATCTTGTTTTTATAAAGCATATTAAATAACTCCTGTGTATGATAATAAAAACTTGCCTTACCATAAGGAGACCGAGAAACGTTCTCCTCAAGACCACACGAACAACTAAAAACTATATGCTGGAAACTAAGACTTTCACAAGGTAACTCCATGAAAAGCTCTGTAAAAGGAGAAATGTGTTTATTTTAATTATAATTTGGCTAGTAGTTGCCTTTTAACTGAAAAAATTCGCTCCAGTCATCAGAGAAAAAAGTTACTACATCAAAACATTTACATTGCAATACTGTATGGCATAAAATTTCATTCAGTAATACAAATAATAAAACAACATACCGTTCACATTGGCCTCAAGAACTAAGTTAGCGCTTGATTCCCCTGCACTTCCTGTTGTAGCTGAGCGTGCACCTGACGTCAGTGGCTGAAAGTGCACGTTCTGCAGCCAGACCCTTCTCAAACTGTTTGTTTGCCTAGCTGCAGTGATCACGCGATGGGATTTGTAGTTTTATTACCACGCAGACACCGGTGCAGACCAGAAAACACAAGCAACGGATTAGTTTTACTATTTTAATTTCTGCGGACAACGCTTTTTGGGAATGAACGGAGGTAAGAATTTTAAGACTTAGGTATATTGAATTTAAGACCTAGGATGAAAATCTGGGCATTTTTAAGACATTTAACTTTCTGAATTTTAGACTTTTTAAGACCCCGCGGGAACCCTGCAAGTAAATACAGGGAAAGTATCGCCGATACGATACCGATATCGATAATTCTTAATAATTAAGGTGGATGCATCATCAAATTGCTAAAACTGAATTGATTTTCATTACCTTTAAGTGTTTTTGTGATTTTTTAAAATTAATTAGGTAAAAACCCAGGACAGAATTTGGGCAAAGTTTATATGTAAATAAATACTGCAGCGCGGAGGTACCGGCCTGAGCGCGGCATGTTGGACTGATCCCAGCTTGTAAATAGTTCTCATTAATCCCTTGTGTGATTATAAATGTGCTGTGTGTTATGTCATGTATAGTGGTTAATGTTTATTGTTGTGTGTGTGTGTGTTTTTGTATGTATGTGTGCGTGCGCCAACCGTGTGTATGAGGAGTAAACGGGGCGACGTGCACGGTGAGCAGTGCCGGTGTGTGCGTTGTAGTAGTGCGGGCGCCATCTGATGATGAAACCCCGAACTATCCCTGCTGTTTAATTATTGCGAGCATGACTCAGCCTCCCACTATTATAATACTTTATTATAAATATTATAGTGTGTGTCCGCCCGGCCGCGCCTGTGTGTTAGCCTGTCCCGCTGAGTCACGTGACAGCCGAGAGCGGCAATTGAGAGGAGCAGCGCGAACACAGACAGCCGCAGTGCATTAGGGAGAGAGGTTGAAACTGAAGTATCGATCTCATTGAACTGGTATCGATCAATATCAGTACCAACATTATTATCGATATTATCGATATTTGGATCGATCCGCCCACCACTAGCTGAAACGCAAAATACAACCGCCATCTTTTGAAACACACAGCGAACAGAGCGATCACAGCG